TTTAAAACTAGATACTGCTCTGGAGAGTTATTTCAAGACTTACAACTTTTCCAGGAGTCATGAGATCAGTTGTCAGTATCTATATTTATAGTGTCACAATTGCCTTCAGCTCCTGGGGATCTGGTGCCCACACATACGTGGCATAAACACACAGAAAGAAACAAGCATACATACAGACACAATTACAATTTTAAAACATTTTAGAAAAACATTGTTGCAATGTACATGTCTTTTGAAGCATGTGTTGTATTTGCTCTCTAGTACTGTCTTACTGGAAGCTCAGAGAGGATGTTTGGCAACTTCAAAAACAGGATGAAACCAGAGAAGATAGCACACACCAGTATTTCTACCAATCAGGAGTGTTTGGCAGGAGGATAGACATGAGGATGCACATTAACACACCCAATTTCTAATTTTACTTGAAAATGGTTTTTCTTATCTAAGTGCTATTTTTTTTTTCATTTTTTTAAATTTTTTCTTTTTAGTTACATTTTTTTTATTTTATTTTTCTTTTTAGTTACATTTTGTTAACTCTGTGTCCCAGCTGTATCCCGCTCCCTCATTCCCTCCCCAACCCCACACTCCCTCCCTGGTCTCCTCCCTGCCCCTTTCCAAGTCCACTGATAGGGGAGGACCTCCTCCCCTTTCATCTGACCCTGTTTTATCAGGTATCTTCAGGGCTGCAAAGTCCTCCTCTGTGGCCTAACAGACTGCTCCTCCCCCGGGGGGGGGGTGTCAAACAGCCTGCCCTTGAGATCCTGTTAGAAATAGTCCGTGTTCCCCTTACTTTGGAAAACTACTTGGTTACTAAGCTACCACGGGCCACATCCGAGCAGAAGTTCTAGGTTATATCTAAGTGCTATTTTTTTAGTATATAAAATATATTTGCATGAGAGGAATATGTAAATTGTTATAGCACCAATTTTACATTGAAGGAAAAGAAGCAGATGTAATGCATTTTAATGTAAACTGTTCAATAATTTTATAAGATTTTCTTCTGAAGAATGAAAAATCCACAATAGATAGATAGGTGCTTTAGCACAAATTAATTTCTGACTAGGGAGGGAGATGATTTATTATTAGGATAAAGGAGGATAAAGTGATAGATAGATGCTAGATAGATACATATTTAGATAGTTAAATAGTTGGGGCTATTTAAATAGATAGACCTTCGATGCTATCTTTGTTAATATAGATAGATGCTAGATAGATGCATAGAGAGTTAAATAAGCTGGGGATAGATAGATAGATAGACCTTCAATTATACATTTATTGTTTTCTCCAGAACAATTATTTTATTAGTGAAAAATTATTCTCAATTTTTATTTCCAAATATATTCCCTAACTTCAGTGGATGAGTCAGAGAAATTATGGTGACATGCAATGAGAAAAGCAGAATTTATTATATATATATATATATATATATATATATATATATATATATATATAGTCAAGTTCAGCATGCTACCCTAATATTTTGTTTTTGCTTATTTATTTGTTTTGAGGCAGGCATCTGTCAATGTTGTTTTTATTTTCTCAGATGATGGGATGAGATAAGAGCTATACCCAAGAATTAGGAACACATGGCTTGGGCTGAGCCCATAGCTTTCCTATCTCTGTTCTACCCATCCTTAGTCTAGGCCTGGCAGCCTCTAGTCTCCATACAACAAGCCCAGACCTTAAAGGCTCCGGCTTCCAGCCTCTGTCTGCTAACCTAGGACTAGAATGTTTTTAGCCTTTGAGACTTACTGGTGAATAAGCTCACCCATTCTAGCTCTTTCTGATCTCTGGATGGCTACTTCAGCTCATCAGTGCTGACTCAAACTCCCCTCCAATTTCTCTCGGCTTTTGACAGAATTGCTCTGCTCCATGAACTGAACAGAATTCAATGGAACTGTATGACCTCAACTCAACTGCAGATCTCAACTTACAGCTGATACTCATCAAGCTGAACTCATTCTCCCTCTCTGCACTGCTCTCAAATAGCGTCTCATTCTTGTCTGTACTCATGAGAGCTGGGCATATCTTATCTCTGACTCATTCTGTCAAATCTTTCTCTGATTTGTCGCTTTGTCAGTCCATCAATTAGACACCATTGTTTGGGATTAAAGGTGTGTACTAAGAGAGTGTTTATATTCCAGCCAGATCAAAAAGATTTAGATCTTTGGATATAATCCCTTGCCAGAGCAGCCGTGTTGCTGGATTAAAATTCTTCTACAGGCCTCAATCTATAGCCAAAGTTGGTATAGCATTTATGGCTATTCTCCATGTTTAACTACTAAAGTCTGGAACTGAGAGTATGAACCACCATTTTTGTTTCCACTATGTTTTAAAAAATTGACAGTCTATTTATTCTTCCAATAAAATAATGTATTTTCTCACTTCCCAATGTCAGTATTAAATATAAAAATTAAAAAAAAAACTTTGAGGCAGACATGTAGACAACAACATTACTTTTTTTTTTCTAAAACGGTTTCTTATTTGTATCAGATGACAAAAAATGAATTTAGGAAAAAAAAAACCCTTATATTTTAAAAGGTAAAGTTAGATGATGATTTTTCTAAAATGGATATACACGGTTTAAATTTTATATAAAAATTATATTTCAGTGATTAATTTACTTTTAATGATTTATTTCTATAAAATTTAAGGAAGAAAAATAAGTTGGGTATGATAGTATTATCAGAAACCCAAAACATTACAGAAGAGTGAAGTGTGTTGTCAGGTGCCCTAAGCCATTCTGGGATCCACAGTGATTGCCAGTCAAGCCAGCATGAGACAACAAGACTGTCTCAAAACCAAGGGAAAAATACAAAGCAGATTAAAAATCCAACTTTCTTAATTTTTTTAAACTTTTTTCATCTTTCTGGACTATTTCAGATTTTTCTAATCTAGGGTACATTAATGCTTCCCCTTCTCCTCTTCTTCCGCCACATGCCCTCCCCATGTCCTCTTTTGTTTGAATAATCCAGGATAAAAAATGAGCAGATTCATAGATATGCTGACTATCTTAGCTGTTGTAAGATTCCACTGAGTTGAGCATATGGTTGCCATTCAAAAGGAATAAGGATCTCTATAAAATTAACATAAGAGTTAACAACCTACTGTAGAGTTGAGCCTCAGGTATAAATAAATATATACTGGTAGGTAGAGGCATCAGCCACGCCAGCTCTGAGGTGCCAGGCTATGGAGAATCTGTCCTCAGCTATGCAGGGCTTACTTCTGAAAGTCTGTCCTCAGACGTCATGCATGGATCACTACACCTCCACCAAGGCTCTGGTTATTTTACATTAATGCAAACCATGATCTTACTACATTGAAGAAAGTCTGAGACATACACTGGCTGAATCATTGAGTCTACCATACACATCCTGATTTTCTTAGACTCCAGTTCTCTGTACACTACTGTAGTTACAGGCAGAATGCTCTCACAGTGAGGGTTAGAATCATGTACAATGGAGAAAGCAGACAGTTGTTTTCATCCATCTGGTTAATTCTACTGTTTTGCTCACAATTTTTGGTTTTATTTTTGTCACTGGTTCTTACTTGACATAAAATAGTACTGCACCATTTGTCATGGTACAACTCTAGACAAAATCAGAACTCTATTAGCAAGCAAGATGAAGGGTTTTGGTATGGAGTAAATATTCTACAATACTGGCCTTATGTCACTTAATAATACTTGCCCTTACATATTGACCTATTGTTGATTTAATTAACTCTTAAGGGCCACTTCTACTCAACTTTCATGATGTATCTCACATTTCACTCCATCTGTGTAAGTCTAGAGCTCACTTAACATTTCAAGAGCCCTTTTATTTTATTTTCTTCCTTCCTTCCTCCCTCCCTTCTTCTCTTCCTCCCTCCCTCCCTCCCTTCCTTCCTTCCTTCCTTCCTTCCTTCCTTCCTTCCTTCCTTCCTTCCTTCCTTCCTTCCTTCCTTCCTTTCGACATTTGGAGACAGGGTCTCCCTTTGTAGCGTTGGCCTGCATGGAACTCACAGAAATCCACCCTCATGTATCTCCCAAGTTCAGAGATTAAAGGTGTACCTGACCTTGCCCTTCAAGGGCCCTCTTGTTGTGATTAAAATTGGGGATAAGTTTACCTTCATGCCTATCAGGTCTCCTCAGTAAAATTAGTTAGTTGCCAAATGTTTCTTACAGTGAACATGTGAGTAGTTATTTTTTTTTCATCAGCTAGTATTATTTAACTATGACTGTACAAACTCTGCATACAGATTGTAGGTTGCAGGTTTATTGAATATAACAGATTTTGAGATTGCAAGGTACTTTTACATAGTAGCAATTTATACCTACCACAGTACAAACAAGAAAAGTACACTGTGCTTCAGACAGAGATAATAAAGCATACTTAAATCTTGTTGGTATACCTTTGCCCTATAAGTTAAAAAAACATTATCAAAATTAAAATAATAATAATAATAATAATAATAATAATAATAATAGCTCATGAAAATCCTCTCAACAATCTTAAAATACACAGTGCACTGTGGATTTCCCCCTTCAGTCTTTTACAGTATTCAAGACAAAGTTATATTCAGATAAAAATGTGAAAACAAGTCATCATGCCATTCAGTGGTAACTACAACGCAGATAGGACACACACTGCATCATGTTTTAGAATCAGAACGACTACATCATGACATAGTTTTGCTTTATTCTCACCACAAATTGTCCAATGCCAAGGAAAGCTGTGAAGAGAGCAGTTGAAAAATTCACCATACTTCAGTGCCAAAATAATTTAAATTTTGTGGCTTTTTTTTTTTTTTTTAGTTTATTTCTGTTGGCATTTGGTGCAAATCAAATTCAAATGAATACAGGGAAAATCACACTAGACACATTACTTACTTCTGTGAACTATGTGAGGAGACAAATTGCTTTTACTTGTAAGAATTCATGTTCTGACATCCAGCAATCTGTTTTACACATTTCAAGATACAATACAATGGCTGAAGTTTTAAAAGAGCCATTTTGTTTGCAGCTTGTCGACCAGGCTTCTACAAGGCTTCAGATGGTATTGCCAAGTGTGCCAAGTGCCCACCACGCAGCTCAACACAAGAAGAAGGTTCAATGAACTGCAGGTGTGAGAATAATTATTTCCGGGCAGACAAAGACCCTCCATCCATGGCTTGTACCCGTGAGTAGTTCTGCTGCAACCCATGCCTTCATGTTTTGTTTGTTTTGTTTTGTTTTATCTTCCTGTGGCTGTGATATTTGTTTTTGAGGTGTGTGTCTGTGTGTGTGTACCATTCACCCATATCTTTCCATTTTGCATATGCAATCTGAAAACTCTCTGCTTCCTTCTCCATGCTTGACTCATCACAAATGCAACATTTATCACACAAAATGAATGAGTTTTTAAAGCACTTCCTGCAGTGCAACCCCTATAAAGAAAAGGAAATTCTGGATCTGACTTCAGAATCTCACAATATATTTGTCAAGGCAGGAGAGGTTACAGATGGGGAGTTTAGGTTTGGAGATTTTTTATTATCTTTTGCTATCTCTTGGTCATAGGTCATGGTAAATAAAAGGATGGGGGGACTAAGATTTACAAACATAATACTAAAGTTTTCATAACTATTCACCAGGGTATTGAATTTAGTAGTAAATTTCTTTGTTGGGCATTGTGAATAGATTCTTAATCATGAATGGAAACTCCCGGTTCATAGCTTGGGGAGGTTTCTCTTCTTGAATCCATGTGCCTATAATCTCACGGATCCTCTGAGGATGAATAAGAGTAGATAATAAAGACAGGATGGTTATTTACCTCTCCAATTCATTTATAAATTTCTTATTTCCCCTGTAGTAGAAACCAGAAGTGATGCTCATTTATCCTTGTGGAATCTTTTTTCCTACTTTGCAGGACCTCCTTCCCCACCAAGAAATGTTATCTCTAACATAAATGAGACCTCAGTTATCCTGGACTGGAGCTGGCCCCTGGACACAGGGGGCCGGAAGGATATTACCTTCAACATCATATGTAAAAAATGTGGGTGGAATGTCAGGCAGTGCGAGCCTTGCAGCCCCCACGTCCGCTTCCTCCCTCGGCAGCTCGGACTGACCAACACCACGGTGACAGTGACAGACCTCCTGGCACACACTAACTACACTTTTGAGATCGATGCCATTAATGGGGTGTCAGAGCTGAGCTCGACACCGAGACAGTTTGCTGCAGTGAGCATCACAACCAATCAAGCTGGTGAGTACACCTTGGCAGCTTAGGACTTCAGCTACCATGTCCAAGCAAGCCTGGTGTGAACAGAAAAAACAGGGAGAACATGTTTGCATGGGAGATGGAAAGGAAACCCTAAATTACTTTCCTGATCTCATGTTTACACAATTGTGGTAATTCAATTTAATTCTCTGAATCAGAATAAACCATGTTTGCAAGGTGATTTCAAAACCGTTTTAAATCTGCTGGTGTTTAGTTGGGACCCTGAGGGTAAGGGGTTCCTTGAAACATGTTTAAACCTGAAGAACCTATCAGGCATTAGAGGTTTGCAAAGGTTGGATAGGCACTTGAAAGCTATATGTAGTTTTATATTGCTTAAATTGGATTCATACATAGTCACTCACTTATTTAATATGAGGAGTCCCTAAGTGCCATAGTTTTTGTTTTGTTTTGTTTGTTTTGTTGTTGTTCTTTAAGAGTGGGGAAATTGAGCTGAATACAAGCAAGCTAGCAACTTACCAAGTATGTCTTTGTTTCTCCCTGAGCTTGACTATGGGTGACAATGACTTGCTTTTAAATTTCCTGGCACATGTGACTTCCCCCAAATAATATACTATCACCTAGTATTGTGAGCTAAAGGAAAACCTTTTTCTCTTAGCTTTATTTCTGGATTTTTTTCTAACTTGGCAAGTTAGACTAGAAATGCAACTGAAAAGGTTAGTCCTCAACTACACAAAATTATACGTAAACTAAGTAGGTCAGGTCCACCTTCATTTTCCCAAAACTCAGTTATCAAGAAGAAAAACATCACCATTTGATGACTATAATCCTATTCCCTTGAGGAGTATCCAGTCCCCGACAGGACGGTGAATATTGCTCCTTTCAGGGTGTATATTCAAACATGTGCCTTTCCAGTTCTCAACCCTAGGTTTTGTTTTCCCCCAACTTTGTTTCTAATCTCTCACCTTGATGAAAACATAGTTTTCTTTAATATTCTCACATGGCGCTGCATAAACATCATCTGTGGAAAATATGTGACTTTACGGGGGTGTTTGTCCACTATTACTTTAATCTTTCTTAAGAAACATGCTTTGTTCCTCTTAATGCTAGATCATATCCCTACCAGAGCAGGCATTTACTTTACAGCATTTAATGATATTTAATATTTATAACTATTCAACTTAAAATGTGGAACTTCAGCTTATTTAACTGTCTTTATATGAAAGATGAATAATTCTCATTATATATTAGTTGGCTATGGTTTCTCCTATCCGGTGAACATGAGAATCCTAAAGTTATAATGATGTGGTAATGATTTACTCAAATCTTCTATTTGTGGTTGATTTACTACCTTTAAACAGGAACATCAATCTGTGCTCTAATTATCTCCTAAGTCAAACAAAAACATTTGAAAACAAGCAAGAGCTCCTTATATCCTATCTTATCATTTCCCTCTGGCTTCCTGGCAATACATTAATCAGATGGTAATACATTAATCAGAAAATTAGTAGTTCTGAATATATACAGAAAGAGAGGAGAGGTAACAAGGCATCCAGAGAAAGGCCAAGACCTTTTAAAATATATGAGATTGTGGCCAAGACCTTGAAAAATATATGAGTTTGTACTTGCCATCCCCACTGCCAGTTACAAATCATAGCACAAGGCAGAGATCCAACAGGCATTATCTGTGATTCTTCCTAAGCCCACTCCTGTTTCTTTAGAGTGCAGACAGAGATTTGACCTCAGTGGAAAACAGAAATGACAAACCCATTCCATGGTGTCTGATTCATTTTGCATGCTATGGGGGCAGAGGTCTTTGTTCTAGCTTCAACCCCCAGGGTAAGGTACACAAGCATGGTTATATGTAAGCAACACCATCTCTATTGAGAATACAACTTTGTTTTACTTAGTCTTAATCTGTGAAGGTTAATGGGCTGGTAGCCTTATAAAAATAACCCTCCCTGTCTACCTTTGAAGGGATGTGGTGGTGCTCTCATTCCTTCTCTTATCTCTATCTTGAATATAAAGGGCAAAAGTGAATGTGTCCCTTTATTTCAGTTTAAGATTGAGTTTACTGATCCTTCTCTTGATTACATTATCAAAGCTTCGCAAAAATCACTCGATAAGGTACCTTCTACATTGTAGAGAATTATATGGCAAATTTAGATATTAGTTCTCAGTTCTCAATGATTGCACAAAGTCAGTAAGATAAGAAAAAAAAATAAACATGGTTCCTACATAAAGCTTGTATCCATCAAAGCTCAAGTCAAACACGTAGAGGAAGAATTACAGATTGCAAAATAAACATCTTATAGTTACAACCTGAAATAAATTCCCACTTTTTTCTTTTTCCCTTCAAGTAGGGATATTTACTTTTCACTTCTAAGAATACACATTCCACTGATGGAAAATCCATCCATTTAGTCTTTACCTACATCATTAGATACATGAATTTTAAACATTCTGTAGCAAATAACAAATTCAGATGAGAAGGGATACTTTCAGAGAATTCATAAAATTTTGAGTTTTTTTCTGCTCAAATACTACTGCTGGAAGATATCCAGACATGTCCCCAACATGCGATCAAGACTTCAAATTCTTTTGTCTTCCACCCAACTCTACTTCCACATTATACTCATGGTGACATTCAATGACATGCCATGTGAAGCAAATAACAGGAATGCTGACTGGAAGATGGACAGTGGCCTTGATGGAAATATTTGTCATGACCAGCTGCAGTAAACCTGGTCATTGTTATTTATTACCATGGGGTTCTAAAAAAGATTCTGCACAAAAGTGTCCTCATCATCTCCACCATTCAGACTGGATCTTATTATTATTTACTTATTATTATTATTTACTCCATCATTCTCAGACTTTCCCTATTCTTCTTTTTAAAATTTTATTTAAAAATATTTGGAATTAAGACAGTTTTACATTATTGCCATTGATGAGAGTTTATTATAATTATATCATGTCCCCCTTCCCTTTTCTCATTCATAACCCTCCTACCTACTTCTTCCTGCTCTCTTCAAAGTTCATTGCCTCTTTTTTTTTTCATTTTTTGTTGTCCAGTCCTTCCCTTCCTTATTTTCCTCCCTCCACCTCCTCCAGTGGCACCCCTTTGAGCTCCCTTTCAAATTCATGGTTTCCTTTTCTTTTTTATGTTACATATACATAAATAAATGCATAAAATATAAACACAATTTCCCTAGCATGTTTAGTATTACTTACATGTATATGATTCCAGGGATGAATAATTAGTGTTGGATAACCAATTAGGAGGCTCATCGTGTGTGTGTGTGTGTGTGTGTGTGTGTGTGTGTGTGTACATCTCTGTGACTTAGTCATGTTAAAGGTAATAATATTATTCCTAATTGTTTGAAACAAATTTAATGTTATTTTTACCACCATCCTTCCTCTTCTGTAATTGTTCCAACTTCCCTCTTTAATTAATGCCCCTCCCCATTTCCCCCATCCCCCCTTATATAATCTGTGTTCTCTTTATACCTTCCTTTATCCCATGGTAATTTTTATTACTTATCTTTTCCTACTTTCTTCAGATACTTCAGGTTATCTACTCTCATCTGAAGTTTTAGAGCTAGGAGTCTGACTTGAGAGAAAACATGAAGCCAATGACATTGTAGAGGGAAATGAAAATGTTATGTTTTATCTCTAGATCTAATGTAAATGCAGTTCCATCTGGACTCACTAAATTCTATTTATTTCAAATTAATATTATGTTAAAGAATGAATCTCCTCTTTAGAAATTCTTTTAATCTGTGTTCTTCCATGTTTTGTTTATTGTCTTTATTATTGTTTTGGTCTCTGTGTTTCAAGTTTTGTTTTTTTTTTGTTTTGTTTTTCTTAGATAAATAGCTCAAGGACAACAAAAATTGTTACGTAAATTGAAATACATGTGTTTACTGTAGATTTTATAAATTCTTTTTTAGAGTCTCATTCTACATTTGATTTAATTTTCAAATCAAACTTTCAATGGATGGAAGGTTTGTCTAATTCGTCTTCTCAACACTGAGACCCCCCATCGTCCTTAAACCTGTGCAGGCTCTGTTAATGCTGCTACAGTGTGAGTTCATGTGCACATCAGTCCTGTTTCATCTGGAAACCATTGTTTCCTGGGTATGATCCATTCCCTCTAGCTCTTACAATCTTTCTGCCTCATTCTCTTTCTCTCTCTTTTTAAAGTGTTGTTTTGTATGCATATTTAAAGTGGTTTGTACATACAGATATACAAACATATTCCTAAATACGTAAGTACAACCTGTTAAGGCTATATAATGTTATTTGAATATATATTTTTTTTTTCTTGAATGACATTTGGTGTTGGATAACCAGTCAGAAGCTCTCAGCATTTCTTAGTTACACATGGGTCTTTGTGTAGGGTTGAGTGTCCTGAGCTTTCCCCTGTCCACTTTGGCATTCCTATTGTTGTTATTTTTTTCAGCTTGTGTTTGTACAGTCAGTGAAACCTTGTGGGTGAAACTTCTGATATTACAAGAAGGGGTGGTCTCACTGTCTTTCTGCCACCTCTTCTGCAATGATCCCTGAGGCTTAGATGCCAGGGTTATTTTGTAGATTCATCTGTTTTGTTGCAGCATGAAAGCCCATATTACTTTTTTTCTGATTTTACTCTAACTCTTTTTTACCTATAAACACAGTCCCAAACTCACCATTTCCCTGTAGTAAATTGATCTTATAATTTTTCTTTAATTAAACATTGAAATTTTGAATTCATGTATAGAATTTTTGTAAAAATATGTTGATATGTATCAAATGTTACAAAATAAGATGATAAAATATATTATGACCATACACTTTTGACTAGATTTTTTTCAAACTTAATTGTTAGCACAGGGTTTATTGTCTTTTCCCATATTGTATTACTTAGGAGTCACTATAAAGTTAATTATAGATAATATGCTATTTACTCCTATTTTTTCAAGCAAGTTTTTAAAGAATATTCAATTGGAACTTTAATAAAATCAAGGCATTAACTCATAGTCATC